ATCATAAATAAAAGATGAGATATCACTAGTGTCCTCACAGCAATTAAAATGACAGTAATGAATAGTTTTTTTAAAATATATTTTTATTGATTTTTGTACAGAGAGGAAGGGAGAGAGATAGAGAGCCAGAAACATGATTAGAGAGAGTCATCGATCAGCTGCCTCTTGCACACCACCTACTGGGGATGTGCCCGCAACCAAGGTACATGCCCTTGACCGGAATCGAACCCGGGACCCTTCAGTCTCCAAGCCGACGCTCTATCCATTGAGCCAAACCGGTCCCGGCTACAGTAATGAATATTATAACAACTTTGTTAATGGAAAAAAAAACCATTGAAACCTGTAAAGAATTTTAGTGAGTTTATTTGAGCCAAACTGTCAACATATGCCAAAAAGCAGAACCTCAATGGATTGAGATAATGCTCCAAAGAATGGCGGGGTTACATTTCTATTTATACACTGAAATCGAAGGAGGGACATAGGTGGGTTACATGAAATTCATTGGTGATGGAGTAAGGAGGCGGAAGAAAGCAAAGCGGTGGGAAACCCCTGGGATTGGATAAAAAGTAAAATGATGAAGGTACTTAGGTGAGTGTAGGAACAATTAACATGGTAACAAAGGAATTTGAGGCATCTGTCCTGGCGCCCACCACATTTGGGTGTGCCCCCGGGGCTCCAGAAAAGGGGAAGTTACAAGTTACCCAGACATCTCATAGATATGTTATCTTAGAGGTGGGAGGGCAGAAAGGCTCAGTAAAGAAGATCTAAGTCGATCTTTGTCAGGTGAGATATCGGCCTAGAACTTGACTACCCACTATAATCTGTTTGTAGTTAGATATTTAATTTTCGAACCATCTTTTGTTCTTATTTTAGGTCTCTGAATTTGCAAGACTGCCACACAGGCCTCCCCTGAGGTTGTCAGGTTAGCATGCGGCTCTTTTTCCTTCACTACTTTATGTCATTGATTTTTTTTTTTTAATGTAGATGAAATAAAAATTCTTTGAAGAGTGCAAATTGCCTTTTAAAATACAATTATAAAATATTAATGTTTGTGCGTTTAAATATAAAGATATCAAAATACAGATATTCAATATAGTGGTTTTATCTAGAGTGATGACAAAAAGTAGATACATTAAGCCATTAATTATACTGCAATAGTTGGTTATTGATACTGAAACTTATCAACTATTACTGATATAATTAATTCTAAATGAATACCTGTTAATGTTTGAAAAACTTTATTAGAATAAAAATTGGAAGCAACATAAATATAATCTCCAAATAGAGGAGATTATATTAAAGATGATTAATTCTTACAAATGAATATGATGGATGCATTGAAAAGATATTATTATTTATCCTTGGATGGTGAAATTACTTATAATCTTTATCTTATTTTATTACTTTTTCTATATTTTCCACACTTTATGCAGTTATATTTATTGTAGAATCAGAAAAAGCAGTACATATTTTTAAATTCACTCTCCTCAGTATTTTTACAGTAGATTTTCTCTTATTGTCCTTGGGTTCTTTCTCAGCTACTTTAAACTATTTTCACTATGAAGATTAATTCTCATTTAATCTGGCTTTCCTTGCTACTTTAACATGACATTTCACTTATTTTCTGAGCATTGCTTTTTTTTTCTAAGCTAATGGGCATTTTTTTCAAAGACATCTTCTCCCCCTCCCCCCATCGTAATAGCCATCTTCACAGAAACATCTTAATGCTGCCCTCTTACCTTTACTAGGTAGCTCCATGCCCTTCACAAGGCAGTTTCTCCTCCCTCTTTGATGTGAAAGTGCATAGACTTTGGGGTCTAATAATTTAGGTTTAAACCCTGGCATTCCCTTTACCCTTAGACTAACATAGAACAAATTACATAACCTTTTCAATCCTTATTTTTCTATCTTAAAATGGGGACTATTGTAGCATGTTGTACAATAATACTTTAGTCCATCTATAATAATAAGAGGATAATATGCTAATTAACCAGATGTCCTTCTGGACCTAATTCTGGATGGCCTTCAGACAAAGCCACCAGAGCAGGGGCTGAGCCCCTTGCACAAATTTCACGCATCAGGTCTCTAGTAATTAAATAAGACTTATGGAGTGAGCAGTACTACGCCAGAATCTACTTTTATTTTTGCATTGAATGTGTTGATACAATGTTCTTACATCTAGAGAAAGCATAGACTAAATGACACTATTAAGGGAACGATGTACACTTTTCCCCCTGAGGAACCTGAATGGGTGTGGAGGGATTTCTCCATTTCACGGTGCTTTCTCATTATGCTCAGGGGACGGATTCTCAATTTGGCTCATCCAGCTGGAGACAACACTGCACATGTGAAGAGTCTGGACGGTCATATTGAAGCCAGCCTCCAAAGCCATATATGTGTACAACTGAGAGGCTGCTCTTTGAAAAGAAAGAAAGAAAGTTTGAAGGCAAAAGTCTCCAATCTTATACTCCACTTCCCACATTGCCCAGGATAGAAAAGTTTTCAAGTTTTCCATCAGTAACTAAGCAGATTCAATACACATGTAAGTAACTCTTTGCCAAGGAATAGAAATGACTAGCTTTTGCTTTATGGTTCCTAATGTCCTATCATATCACCATATATCACCCACAGGTAGTTAGTAGGTTCCAAGTTTCCAAATAATGAATAGAGTTGAGGCTGCTTAACAAAACTTTGGCAATTCAAAGAGGAGAAATGGAGAGGAGTCAAGGAGAGGGACTTCATGAGACTGTCCTGAGTCAGGGCACCAATAGCTTGCAACCCTGAGGACATCTTGCTTATTCCACTATGTCCCAGGTCCCTGCACAAGGTTTGGCTTTGAGGCTCCAAGGTTGCTGTGCAGCAATGTAATATGTCTGGCAGGAAATAGTTTAATTCAGGAACATAGGGATGTTCTGATCACAACAAACTTGTCCTAGACCCAGTCACTGTAACGACCAAAGAAAAGGAAATTTAAAGAGGTACTGTACTTTAGTTTTTCGCGGGATTCTCAGGAACAATCTCTCCAAATATACTCTGAATTGTTTGCACTGTCTCGGCGACATTAGTTGATCCATGGACAGCATTTCTCAAAAGACTTATTCCAAACTGGGCTCGGATAGAGTCTGGGGACAACAACTTTGCTTCATTCGGGTCTGTGGGACCCATCAATCGTCTCCAGTCTAAAATAGCATTCCACTTGCTCAGAACCATGACCAAAGATGGACCCCTGCAAATAACAGTGCTTTCAGAAGACTTGGGCCACTTAAGACTGTACAGATTGCATACGTGGCTAGAGACAGAATGCCACAACTTCAGCCAGAGTGCTTTTCCTTATTCTTTATACTTATTAGTGTGATTTAATGCTCTCTTTTTTGTTTGTTTCAAGGCATAGTAAAATGCTGGTAGAAAAATGCCATAGTTTAATTCTATGGGTATTTTCCAGGCACTATTCCAAGTATCTTCAATGTATCAATTATTTAACCCTCACAACAAGCAGATGAGTTATGGTAGGTACTATAATCATGCCCATCCTATCTAATAAAAGAGTAATATGCAAATTGACCATACCTCTACTACACCCACAAGCCATGCCCAACAGGCAATCAGAGCAAGTATGCAAATAAACCCAACCAAGATGGCTACAGCCACAGAGAGCAGGAGGCAGGCTTGGGTTTCCCCGGCTATGGAGGAAGCCAAGCTTTCTGCCTGCCCTTGCTGACCCAGGCCTCCATTTAAGGCTACAAAGTTTCAATTATAAAAGGTAAACAAATTCCAACAGAAATGGCTGCAGCCACGGAACAAGCAGAAGGCTTGGCACTGCTCCAGGCTAAAAAGTTTCAATTTTACAAGATACATAAATCCCAGATACCAGGGCCTCCCGCTTGGTTTGCCAGGGAGCATGGCCAGCCTGAAAACCATCACAGGCCCCTCACCCAGGCCACCCCACACCCTAAGGGAACCCCACTTTGATCCAGGACACCCTTCAGGGCAAACCAGCCAGCCCCCACCCATACACTAGGCCTCTATCTTATCTAGTAAAAGAGTAATATGTAGATTGACCATTACTCCAACACACAATATGGTTGCCCCCATGTGATCAAAGATCCTACCCCCATATGGACACAAGATGGGCACCACAAGATGGCCAGCAGGGGAGGGCAGTTGAGAGGGACCAAGACTGCAAGGGAGGGCAGTTGTGGACCATCAGGCAAGTAGGGGAGGACAGTTGGGAGGGAACAGACCTGTAAGTGAGGGAAGTTGGGGGCAATCAAGCCTGCAGGGAAGGGCAATTGGGTGGGACCCAGGAGTGTAAGGGAGAGCATTTGGGGGGAACCGGGCATGCAGGGGAGGGCAGTTAGGGGTGACCAGGCCTGCAGGGGAGCAGTTAGGCATCAATCAGGCTGGCAGGGGAGTGGTTAGGGGGTGATCAGGCTGGCAGGCAGAAGCTGTTAGGGGTAATCAGGAAGGCAGGCAGGTGAGTAGTTGGGAGCCAGCAGTCCTGGATTGTGAGAAGAAAGTCTGACTTTTTGTTTAGGCCGGATCCCACCAGAATTGGGCCTAAATGGACAGTTGGACATCCCTAGAGGGGTCCCAGATTGGAGAAGGTGCAGGCTGGGCTAAGGGACACCCCCCTCTCCGTGCATGAATTATGTGCACTGGACCTCTAGTTTTACATATAAGAAAATAAGATAGAGATAAAGTACATTGGCAACCAGGAAATTAAACCCAGACAGCCTCTACATCTAATGTGAAGACCTAAATTTAAAAAAAAAGGAAGGAAGGAGAAAGAAAGGAAAAAAGGAATAAGGAGAATGAGAGAGGAAGGAGAGAGAGAAAGGTATGGAAGAAAGAAGAGGAATAGGAAGGAAATGAACACAAAATATTAATAAGTTGTCTTTTCATGAATGAGATTAGATTAAATGTTTTAATTGATATTTTTCTATTTCTACAATGAACATTTCCTACCTTATAATGCAAAGAACTATATTTCAGAAACTTACTCAGATAATGCCTCCACTACATCGTTATAAAAAAATTTATTTGCTATTTTATAATAAATTTTGTCAACATTCCCTTTGAGTAGAATTTCCTTCATTTGTGTTATTTCAAATCCAGCTTCTTTAATACGGTGTAAGATCGCCTCTAGAAAAAAGATATTTGCTAATCATACAGATTGCCTCCATTTTGCTCCATGTTCAAGTAGATGGAAATAACTAAGGATGGTGATAGTTTTACTTGAATACTGTGATTTTAAAAACCAAAACCATGCTAACCTAAATTGAACTTAAGCACCAAACTGACATTCAGAAGAACTTTAATATGTTATTGTAGGTGCTTCATTTCTGAGAAGCATCTTTTCTGAAACATCGAGTGGACTATGAAAGTGGGAGAGGAGGGGACCAGCTCCTGTGCTAAAAGTTAAGACATGTTTCACTCTGTGCTACCGGTGCCAAGAAACTTCTTGCTAGATCGAAATTGAAGATTAGAGCCAATCTGAACTCTTCTTCCTGAAGTAGAAGGAAACTATTGAGGGAATTAAATAATGTAAATCTTGTCAAAGTTCCACCCACAGCTTAAACTTGGGGGGCTATATTCTGACTATATTCAGAATTGGCATTATTCCTTCAACTTTCCTGTAGTTTGAAAATTTTTTCACTAAATTTGAAGAAAATGTATACATTGGCTTTCATTTTTAAATATTTACCTCTTTGTTCAGGTGTTACGTGAGGTTTAATCAGTGCTAAAGTTTGTTGAGGAGGAAAGAAATACTGGATGTCCCTCTCAGCAAGTTCTAATGAGTCACTTCCATAAAACTGGTTGATAGGCAAACTTTCCATTGCAAATTGTACACACAAACTTTGGAAAAGAAAACAAGTTAAAAACTGTTATGGTATAACAACATAACATATCGGGTCTAGTAATAATTAATGTCGTTTTTAAACATTCATTTAAAATCTTGCTTGGCGTTGACTTGTATTGACATAACCTTCAAATACGTGGTATCTACAGAACGTGTGAAGTGCAATTAACAATTTTTGCTTGAAAAAGTTTGTGTTTGGTTTGGTTTTTGTTGCAAAACTAGGGCTAAGAAGATGGCGGATGAAGAGCATATTCGGCACTGCATGCTTTAGGAGTTCCAATTAGGAAGAAAAGCAAGTGAGGCTGCAAAAAACATCTGTAGTGCTCTTGGTCAAGATGCAGTTAGCGCCAGAAAATGCCAGCGTTGGTTTGAGAAATTTCGCGAGGGAAATTTTTCGTTAGATGACAAGAGTGGTCCAATTTTGATCAAGAAGCTCTTCAAGCTCTTTTGGTGCAAAATCCTCAAATTACCCAACAAGAGCTTGCGACAACTTTAAATTGTTCACAAAAAACAATTTCCAATCAATTGCATGCACTTGGCAAAGTCCAAAAGTTTGGAAAATGGGTTCCTCATGAGTTGACCAACAACAACCGTAATCAAAGAGTCACAATTTGCAGTTCGCTCCTCTCTCGTCAAAACCGTTTGCCGTTTTTAGAGCAAATTGTTACCAGAGATGAAAAATGGGTGCTGTATGTTAATTTGAAAAGGCGGCCTCAATGGTTGGACAAAAATGAGGCTCCGCAGCCCACGCCAAAACCTGACTTGCATGCGAAAAAAGTGATGTTGTGTGTTTGGTGGAATTTTAAAGGAATTCTTCATTATGAACTTTTACCATCTAACCAAACCATTACAAGTGCAGTGTATAGTGCCCAATTGGAAAGGTTAGCCCAAGCTTTAAGAGAAAAAGAACCCGCGCTGATTAATCGGAAGGGCGTAATTCTTCACCACGATAACGCACGACCGCATACTGCAAGAATCACTGCTGAAAAACTGCGCCAGTTGGAATGGGAAGTTCTCCCTCAACCTGCATATTCTCCTGATATTGCCCCTTCCGATTACCATTTGTTTCGTTCTTTGCAAAACTTTCTTCTTGGAAAAAAATTTAATAATGAAGAATGCCTCAAAAATGCATTGACCGAATTTTTTGCATCAAAATCACAAGAATTTTACAACAGAGGGATTAAAATGCTTCCTGAGCGTTGGGCACAAGTATTAGAAAACAACGGCAACTATATTGTTGATTAAATTTTGTTGTATTGTTTAAATAAATTCGATTTTAAAAAGTATTAGAAAATGACATTAAGTATTACTAGACCTAATAACATAGCATAGCATAGCATAGCATAGCATAATATAACATGACATAACGTAACATAACATAGTACAATATAACACTATTTATATAAATTGTTCAAAATTATCAAGCAAAAGCAACTCATCCCTGATCTGGGCATAGTTAAAAAGTAATTAATTACAGAGTGGTCTGGGAATACTACTTTATTCCAAGGATGTAATAGTCTTTTAAAAGAAAGAAAATAAAAACATAAGTGAAAGGGAGGGAGGGAGGGAGGGAGAGAGGGAGGGAGGGAGGGAGGGAGGGAGGGAAGGAGAAAAATAAGGAGGGAGGGATGGAGGGAGGCAGGGAGTGAGGGAGGGAAGCAGGGAGGATATAGACATTTAAATAATCCTGATAATGGAGATTGACAGATAACTGTGAATGGAGGAATGGATGCCCTAACACAATGACAAACCAAGATCTATACATTCCTGATCACTAAATAGTATCAAACACTATTAGCATTTGACTCTATACCAAAGATTCCAAACTAAATTTTAAATCCAGGAGAAAATGCAATGGAACCTTCCCAGTAAGCAAGAGCAGCATCAAAATAGGAGCCTACAGGACAACTTCATGTATAAAGAATCAGTAGTGCCCTAGCTGGTTAGGCTCAGTAGATAGAGCATCAGCTTGTGGACTGAAGGGTCCCAGGTTTGATTCTAGCCAAGGCCACATGACCAGGTTTTGGCTCAGTCTTCATTAGGGGGCATTGCAGGAGGCAGTTAATCAAAGATTCTCATCATTGATGTTTCTCTCTCTCTCCCTCAATCTTCATTAGGGAGCATTGCAAGAGGCAGTTAATCAAAGATTCATATCATTGATGTTTCTCTCTCTCCCTCTTGCTTCTTCTCAAAACAGCTTAAATTATCACCTATACTTATTCCATTCAAGGAAGAGGATTACAACCAGCCCCTCTGTTACACTGTTAGACATGATTATTGGGGGGAAAAATGTGCATACATTTGTAAGTGTGTGGGAAGCCGTGTTCCGTGGGGCCTGAGGGCAAGGATGGAGCATAGGGCAGGGACGCCTACCTGCTCTCTTACAGGGGATTGAGCACAGGGTAGGGACGCCTACCTGCTCTCCCCTAAGCCTTCAGGGTCAACTAGGGACAGGGCAGACCATAGACCCATTGTTAGGGAGTGCGTGTGATGCATGACTTATCTGGATGTTCTCAGCTAAGCTGTTCTCAATGATATCTGGCCAGATGCCTGCTCTATGTATCTTTTTCCAAGAACGCCTTAAGGAGCTGACGGGCGGCCTTGTCCTGGGAAAGGGGCACTTGGAGAAACGCCCAGAAAGGCCGCATAAATGTACGCCTGCAACTAATAAAGCTGCTGCAGTCTCACCATGGACTAGCAGTCCTCCTGAAGCTCCGCTTTCTCTTGTCTTTATTTCTCTTAAGCCTCCTAGCCCTACCTTCAGGACCTGTGATACCGGCTGGATCTGGTATAAGTGGACAATTTATGTTGGGTTAGGTAATTAGTCTGGTTCTGTTTCTGTACAATAGATAAATATATTATCTCTTAAGTCAATTGTTTCTTGATGTTTTTTGTTTCCCCTTTTTTTCTGTCTTTATAAATGTGTCTATCTATCTATGTATATTTTAACAGAGGAGATGCACACTGTTCATTGTATTTTCTGCCTTTTACAAACACTTTTGAGAAGCCAATCCTCAACATCCAGTGGTGGTGAGTCCTGTTGATTTAATAGAGCCACATCACTGGAAACCTGGCTTTCTTTCTACCTTCAGCTTCAAGACTCTCTTTGTGCCTCTCTGGTATCAGTGACCTATTTTTTATTTATCCAACTTGACCTTCCCACTCAGACCTTGACTATTCTCTCACCCTTATATTCGTGGCCTAAGTTCCCTGGAGCCTGTGCTAGCCAGGGTTGAGGAATTTGCACAATGGTTGACAAAATAGCTTAAATTATCACCAGCACTTATTCCATTCAAGGAAGAGGATTACAACCAGCCCCTCTGTTACACTGTTAGACATGATTATTGGAAAAAATGTGCATACATTTGTAAGTGTGAGTTTGTGCATGAGTAAGGATAGCATGGAGGGGTTACTATATTTATCTTTTATGAAAGTGACCGTATTTCAGATGAAGCAATGCAGAGTGCAAAATCTGATCCTTGGGTGCAGAAAAGGGACAGAGCTCTGTTGACAGTTATCTCTCAAACAACCTGAAAGACCTGGGTGGGACCAATGAAACTGGAAAAGGGGAACCATTCCTATAGGAGGGTCAGGATTAGTTGTGGTAAGATAGGGAACCTAGGGCTCTGCATGGGAATCCTCACAGCACCAGTGGAGTGGGAGAGGCAGTCAGTGGGTGCTTCCACCTGGAGGAATGTCTCTGCTGGGGCGCTCCCTCCACACCTGGGACCACAATTGCTAGAAGAGTGTGCCTGCAGGCACAGGCTTTGTGCTGAGAGTAGTTCCTCTCTCTCTCTGAAGCCATGCATTCAATTCTAGGCAGCATTTCATTCAGAGGATCTATGACACTGTGCTCACACTACTGACAGTGTTCAACCCACATTATCCTTGATAGTTATTTTCTGGTTCAGCAGCAAAGACATAAGTGAGTAGGACTAAACAGGGCATAAAAGGTGCCCATTCACGACAAGTCAGCTTCAAGATAACCTGCCCCCCATCCCCCAAAAAATTATTTTCATGTTTATGTAAATGAGGTTTCATGAGTGTAGTTATTGCGGAAACAAATGTGTCTAGTTTGCTGTGCCCGGTAGAGCATCTCTATTCTTGCTCACGTGAAGCGAGAGCCTTTCTTCCCTGTATTGAATCCTGCTCTGCATCTGGCACAGAGAATTCAAGCACATCACAATTCAGTTTGTTTCCATAGCTACCTCCCAAGAATGTAGATGCCTGAGATACTATCCACCTCCTCAGGTGATAGCAAGCCTAACAGCTAAGGTAGAAAATATTTACAGAGTACTCCCTATGTGCGAGGTAGCAAACCATGTGTTAAGTTGACTGCAAAGTTTACTTGACTAACTTAGTAATGGTTCCTGCCAAAGTAGAGACTACATATTAAGTCAGTCATGATTGTCTTGAAATGCTTATGATCCACTAAAGAACCTGAAGCTGCCATCACATCCTTCTCAAAAGATTTTCTCTAAAATAATGGATGGGGTTGCAATTTCTGCCAAGAGTTGGCCTTTTGCCTGGGTACCCATCACTTACTCCCCAGCTCCAAACCAAATAGCCTGCAGACTTCTCTTGCAAAACCTTGCCAGGACTCATGTTGGCACTGGACTATGCTTCCAGCCAATGGCAGTCCACTCTGTCCCAGGAAGTTTAGCTACACTGAGAACCCCCTTTGAACCAGAACTATAGTTCCTATATCCCACATCTAAAAGGGAATTACAATGGCTCCTATGAAAAACAGTTTCGGACCTATGATATGAATCCAACCTGTTTGGAAGAGATTGTTTAGCTTCTTCAACGGTACTTGGTCCAATTAACTCTTTCCAGTGTTGTAAACCATTTTCTCTTACTAGAACAAGAGCTAGAGATGGACCACTGTTAGAAAATTAAAAACAAAGTTAATAAAAATCTGACTCGGTAGCTAATTATATATAGCTCACAAAAGTGTATTTGTTAAATAGATTACAAAAAAGTCAAGATAACCCTTTTATCGAATCTAAAATTAATTTCCATTGGTGTATTCTTAAGAGCATATTTATAAAAAGATGGAAGCAGAGAAACAAAAGGGGAAAGGGGGCTTTGGCTCCAATAGGATGGTTCCTATATGGTTCCTCGTCTCCTGCTGAGTTATATCCTCTTGCTGGATTTCTGCCCCAGCTGCTACTTCACTGACACTTTTAGAAACCTGACAGATTTCGCCGGCACCGGTTTGGCTCAGTGGTAGAGCATCGGTCTGCGGACTGAAAGGTCCCAGGTTCGATTCCGGTCAAGGGCATGTACCTTGGTTGCGGGCACGTTCCCAGTAGGGGGTGTGCAAGAGGCAGCTGGTCGATGACTCTCTATCATCGATGTTTCTAACTCTCTATCCCTCTCTCTTCCTCTCTGTGAAAAATCAATAAAATATATATAAAAAAAAAAAAAAAGAAACCTGACAGATTTCTAGCTTCTCATGCCTCTCCTAGCTCCTTAAGATTCCCAAAGCTCTTGAGCGCCAATCAGTTCTCTGCTTGGAATTGATGATGCTGCACACTCTGGATTTCTGGCATTTAACTCAACTGGACTTCAGCAACTTCACCTGGGATATTGCCATTGCTCCAGTAACAGTCCAGGAGGACTAGACAAGAGAGACAGTTGAGCAGAGAATCGACATGGGAGGGAGACTGGCTCAAAAAGCAGACTCAGCACTTGTTTACAAAATGGAGAGGCTTGGCAACTTGAGCAAAAAGAAAGGTTAAGAGGAGATTTAAATAATTCAAAAATAATCAAGACTGTGCTTTCTACACCTGAAATTTATTTTACCTGGTCATGTTTTCTATCACATTTTCAAAATAATCTTCATTTTCATATTCCTTGCACAGTATTCGTGCCTCTTCTTCTGTTAACACCAGTTGTCTTTGCATCAGTATAAGAAAGCCTTCATTTAGAATAATACTCAAAACATCCTCTAAATGAAAAGTTTTAAATTGCTACGTTATTGGTTATATACACGATATACAATATATTATCACGAGGGTATAGAATGCATTTTTTATTCTCTTATGAAATCTAGAAATTTGAAAATACCTCATTAGATTTTAACTTAAGGTGAACAGTATTCTTAGCATATTAAATTATAATGGTATTTCCAATTTTACATGACATGAGAATCATACACACAAACATACATACACACACATACATACACACACACACACACACACACACACACTGAAGTTTCTCATTAGCAAATATTTTCTATACTATATGCTTTCTCTCTAAGACTGGCAACAAGGCAGAGCTCTCACCTCTCACTACTCCTATTGACATCAAACTGGAAAACCTAGTTAATGAAATAACACAAGAAAATAAAATAAAGGGTATACAGATAGGGAAGGAGAAAATAAAACTGTTTTTCTTCATAGATGATATCATTGTCTATGTAGAAAACCCCAAAAAACAACAACAAAACTCCTCAAACTAATAAGAGACTATTATAGCCAAATTGCAAGTTACAATTAAGCACAAAAGTAAATGACTTTCCTATATACTAACAATGACATTGGAATTTGAAATTTAAAACAATAGGATTTTCATTGGTACACAAAAATGCATCCTAGACAGTTTGACACAGTGGATAGAGTGTTGGCCCATGGACTGAAGGGTCATGGGTTCAATTCTGGATAAGGGCAGGTACCTCAGTGGCAAGCTCGATTCGGTGCCTTTGGCATGTGTGAAAGGCAACCAACAGATGTGTCCACAAGTTATTTTGTGGATATTGATATTGAAGAACTGATTCTAAAGTTTATATGGAAAGACAAAAACCCAGAATAACCAACTCAATATTGAAATACAAAAACAGTTTTTGAGGACTGATAACTACCCACTTCAAGATTGACTATGAGACTACCTTTACCAGCTCTGCCACAGTGGCTCAGGTGGTTGAGCATCATCCCATGAGCTTAAAGGTCACCAGTCAAGAGTACATGCCCAGGTTGCAGGCTCCATCCCTATTTGGGAGTGTTCAGGAGGCAGCTGATCGGTGTTTTTCTCTCACATCAATGTTTTGTTGTTGTTTTTTTTTCTCTCTCTCCTCCCTTCCTCTCTTTCTAAAATAAATAAATAAATAAAAATTAAAAATCAATTAAAAACATTTATAATACTACTATAATGAAGTTATGAGGGATAGGCAAATTAAGACACATAGATCAATGGAACTGAACAGAGAATCCAGAAATATACCCACATGAATATGTCAACTCAAATGTGACAAATACTAGTAAGCAAAGATAATACAGTGGAGCAATGATAGTCTTTTCCACAAATGGTGCTGGAACAATTGGACACACACATGCAAAAAAATTAATCTAGGCATAGACCTTATACCTTTCACAAAAATTAACTGAAATGGAGTATACTCCAAAATGTAAAATTCCAACCTACAAACTTTCTGAAAGATAACAGAGAAGGAAATTCTGATAACCTTTCAGTGTTTAAATTTATTTTTTAATTTAAACATTAAAAGAGCAATAAAAATACCTGACAAGTTGGACTACATTAAAAACAGAATCTTTTCAGTAAAAGACACTGTTTAAAAGACAGAGAGCCCAAAACCTAGAAAAATCTTTGCAAACTACAGATATTTAAATGATGTGTATTCACAAAAAGCAAAAAACTCACAATTCAACTATAGGTAAACAAGTAACTCCATTAAGAAATGGGGAAAGCTGAAACTGGTTTGGCTAAGTGGATAGAGCATCAGGTTGAGGACTGGAAGGTCCTAGGTTTGATTCTGGTCAAGGCCATGTACCTTTATTGCAGGCACATCCCCCTTGGAGGGGGTGGGAAGAGTGCAGGAGGCAGATGATTGATGATCGATGTTTCTAAGTCTCTATCCCTCTCTCTTCCTCTCTATAAAAAAAAATCAATAAAATATGTTTTTGAAAGAAAGAAAGAAGGAAGGAAGGAAGGAAGGAAGGAAGGAAGGAAGGAAGGAAGGAAGGAAGGAAGGAAGGAAGGAAGGAAGGAAGGAAGAGAGAGAGAGAGAGAGAGAGAGAGAGAGAGAGAGAGAGAGAGAGAGAGAGAGAAAGAAAGAAAGAAAGAAAGAAAGAAAGAAAGAAAGAAAGAAAGAAAGAAAGAAAGAAAGAAAGAAAGAAAGAGAGAGAGAGAGAGAGAAAGAAAGAAAGAAAGAAAGAAAGAAAGAAAGAAAGAAGGAAAGAAATGGGGAAAAACATCTGAAGAGACATCTCATCAAAGAAGATACAGAAATAGAAGTTAGCATATGAAAAGATGCTCAGCAATCATAAGTCATTATGCAAGTGTGAATTAAGACAACAATGAGATACCATTACATACTTATTAGAATAGAAAAAATCTAAACACCTGCACAGCAACAGAAACTCTCATTACTTGCTGTTTAGAACTGAAAATGATAAAAGCCACTTTAGAAGGCATTTGACAGTTTCTTACAAAGCTAAACCTAATTTAACCATATCATCCAGTACTCAGGCTCCTAAGTATTTACCCTGCTGAGGTGAAAACTTATGTCTACACATGCAAAAAAAATCACATACTAATGACTATTTCAGCTTTATTCATAATTACCAAAAACTGAAACCTACAAAGATGTCCTTCAATAGGTAAGTGGAAAAACTTTGGTGCATCTATAAAATGGCATATTATTCAGCAACAAAAGGAAATGAGCTATCAGGTCACAGAAAGATATGGCAGAATCTGTCGAAACCGGTTTGGCTCAGTGGATAGAGTGTCTGCCTGTGGACTGAAGGGTCCCAGGTTTGATTCTGGTCACGGGTATGTGCCTTAGTTGGGGGCACATCCCCGGTGGGTAGGGGGAGAGGGGGTTGTGCAGGAGGCAGCTGATTGATGTTTCTCTCTCATTGATGTTTCTAACTCTCTATCCCTCTCTCTTCCTCTCTGTAAAAAATCAATAAAATATTTTTTAAAAGATATGGCAGAGTCTGAAATTCATATTAAGTAAAAGAAGAGGCTACATACTATATGATTTCAACTCTTTGACCTTCTGGAAAAGGCAAAACTAATCTACTAGAGACACAAAAAATCAGTGGTGGCCTAAGCATAGGAGGGCAGAGGGAGGAATGGCTAGGTGACTCCATTCTGTATGATACTGTAAAGGGGATACATGATATGCATTTATCAAAACCCATAGAATGTACAAAATAGAGAACTTTAATGTGAACTATGGATTTTGGCCAATAACAATGTATCAGTATTCATTCATTATAAAAACATATCACAATAATATGTTAATAGGAGAAACCGTTAAGCAGGCATATGGGAACTCTGTACTATATTAATTTTTCTATAATTTTTATAATTGTCCTAATTTATAAAAATCTATTCATTTTAACAAGTATGGAAATATTTTAAAGGGCAAACAAATCATTCCAAAGAAGAAAACTATAGCGCCAGATAGTTTTGCCAGTAAATCCTGGTAAGTATTTAAGAAAGATGTAATATCAGTTATAAACTGTCCCTTCCAGAAAATACAGAGGAGTGACAACTTATTTTATGAGGCCTGCATTATGCTGACACCAAAATCAGATAAAGACATTACAAGAAAACAACAAATAATCATCACGAATATAAGCATGAGAGTCCTCAACAAAATATTTAAAAATCAAAGCCAGAAGTAGGTAAAAAGGGACAATATACAACAATCAAATGTGTCTTATCTGGAGAATGCAAAGCTGCTTCAACGTTCAAAAATCACAGTAATTGCCATATCATCAAACTCAAGGAAAAGCAATAATCACTGTAGTAGACATAGAAAAAATCTTTGAGAAAATGCAACATCCATTCATGATTTTTTTTTAAACCCCCAAACTAGGAATAAGTGGAAATTTCCTTAATTTGATAAAGGATATATAGCACTAACATTACTAGTACATTTAACTAGAAGCCCAATGCAGAAAATTTGTGTAAGAGTAGGTCTTCCTGCCCTGGCTACTGGCACTGGCTTCCCTCTGGTACCCGGGACCAGGCTTTCGCCATAGGGGGAGGCCTGCCCACCTGCCACAGCCCACTGGTCAGTGGTCTGGGCTTCCGTCTTTGGGGCAATCATGGAGCCTCCCAATTGATCGCACTGCCACCGGCTGGGCAACCATGGGGCGATGGCCCAGGCCCCCAAACAATAGCATCCCACCCGCCTTGGCTGGCCTGGCACCAGTGGGTGTCATAGCATGGTTCTGAATGGTCATCCGGATGGTCGTCCTGATGTTCTTTCTGCTGTTTGGCCATTTGGTTGATTTGCCTATTACACTTTTATATATAGAATGGTAAAAAACTAAATGCTTTCACTGTAAGGTCAGGAACAAGGCAAATTTGTCTACTCTCACCTCTCCTAGTCAACATCATACAGGAAGGCCTAGCCAATCAGTCCAAAGATGCAAGCAAAAGGAATAAAGGTATACAGATTGTCTTGATTTGCAGTGTTATTACTGTTTACATCAGTAGTTCTTGACCAGAAATTTGATCCCCCAAGAGTGCACTTGACAATGTCTGGAGACATTTTTTGTTGTCACAACGGGGCATAGTAAGTGGGTAGAGCAGGGTGTGCAGGGATGCTACATCTGATGAGTAGAGGTCAACGGTGTTATAAACATTTTGCAATGCACATGACGCAGCCTCCCTCAACCAAAAATGATCAATTATCTAGTCCCAAATGTAAGTAGGTCTGAGACTGAAAAATCCGGATCTGCATAGAAATTCCTAAGGTGACGACATCAAAGCTTCTAAAACTGAGTTCAGCAAGTCAGAGAATGCAAGGCCAATATTAAAGTATTTTTCATATAATACACTGGGTATGAAATAGTGTGAAAGTATGGTTTCTGTTCTTACTCTGCATTCCACTCTGCTAGGTGAATATAGGATTAGATTAAAAATAATTAGCACTTCTTTAAGTGTAGGCACTGTATTTATGTTTTCTTATTTTCATCTGACTTTTTTGTTCTTTTTTAAATTTTATTTTCTTCTTTTTCAATTAGTTTGCATTCAATAATATTCTGAATTAGAAGAAAGAGACCTGATAAAGCAACTTTTACAAATCATACTATTAATGAGGGTTGACTCAAGCTTTGAATTAAGACATTTCAGAAATGAAAACTGCTAATTTTTATTATATAATAATCCCTGCCACATTAAAATCTTCTCTAACACATTTATAAGCTGGAAAATACTTTGTAAAACTCTTTACTGCAAGTTGTTTTATTATTATTGAAAATTCGTAAATTAATATTAACTAAATTTCTTACTTTAGATTTTTTTCTTCAAAGTTAAGTCCTAAAATAATATATTTTAATGTAATTACACTAGGGTTTATTCAAATCCATTTATGAAATAAACAATTTGTACCTTATTTCTTACCTTTCTTTTCTTGAAAGAGATCTGGTCGAAGTAATACCAGTATCTTTTCTAATTTTATGTTTTTGAAATCAGGGAAGAAGAGATCAATAAACTTATGAACATTTTCTTCATCCTCTTCAACATCACAAAACTCATGTATATTTTCTTTATCCAGATATTCTTCTAAAGTGCTGAAATTCAAAATGTAATTTAAGATGTAAGATGAAGTTTAATAGTCTTGACAGAAAATTAAAACTGATAATAGTTTACAAATAATTCAGAGTTTAGTAAAACAAATAAAATCTAATTTCACATAAAGATAAATTGCTTTTCTCTATCACATCAAAAATATAAGCCACTCAGAGAAAGATATGCACCACATGATCTCACTCATTTGTGGAATATAATGGACAACATAAACTGATGAACAAAAATAGATCCAGAGACAGAGAATCATAAAAAAGACAGTCAAATCTCAGAGGGAAGGCAGGAGAGAGTGAGTAGGGTAAGAGATCAACCAAAGAACTTGTATGCATATAAACATATCCAATGGACACAGACAAAGGGGAGCAGGGGTAGGCTGGGAGACAATAATGGGAGAAAGGGGACATGTAATACTTTCAACAATAAAGAACTAAAACATAAATAAAACTAATTAATTAATGAAATAAACAGAAGGATACATAAATAAATAAAGTATTTAATTCAACTTTTTGTTTACCCAATCCAAAGATCAATTAAATAAAATTATGTATGTTTGACTTCATGAGAGGGTAAAAAAAAAACAAAGAAATATTTGAAAATTTTTTTCTTTCCTCTGGGTAAAGATTTTCTGATAGTTTCTATTTTTTCTTCCAATTTTGTCTTTGAATCCAAGGTTTTTGTAGGAGCATACTTTGTATTTTCATATAGATATTTTGATCCTCTTTTTATTGTTTAGTTCCAATTTTATTGGATTAAAATATGTGTGGTGAAACCTTAATTTAAAAAACAATTGTTGCCCTAGCTGGTTTGGTTCAGTGGCTAGAGTGTAGGCCTGCAGACTGAAGGGTCCCAGGTTTGATTCCAGTCAAGGGCATATGCCTGGGTTGTGGGTTCGATCCCTAGTAGAGGGTGTGCAGGAGGCAGCTGATCAATGGTTCTCTCTCATCACTGATGTTTCTATCTCTCTCTCCCTCTCCTCTCTGAAATCAATAAAAATGTATTTATTAAGATTAGGTATATTTATATTTTATATATTGTAAGTCATTTGTTATATGTAGTTATTAAATATGCACTTTCCATTCCTATATATCCTTTTTTTTTTGTCTTCTGTGTACTGAGATCTTTTACCAAACATATTTTTATCAAGTTCTTATTTTTATAATAATTTTATCTTTATATTGTTAACTGTTATCTTGTTTGAGGCATTTTCACTACTATATCTTCTTTATAAATGCTGCCTTTTGCTTCATGTTCACTTTATTTTTCCTGGTGATTTCTTTGCCATCCCTTTTTCTTTTACTGTGTGTGTGTGTGTGTGTGTGTGTGTGTGTGCGCGCGCGTTTCTTCTAAAAAAATGAGTGCAGTTCTTAAAACTTCATTTTAATGACAGAAAAGTTATAAATTAGGACAATGAACTCTAACTTCACTTATTTTTAATGTTTTGCCATATATGTTCTCTCTTACTCTCTTTATCTCTGTCTCTCATCCCCCAGTGTGTGTGTGTGTGTGTGTGTGTGTGTGTGTGTTTGTGTGTAGGCTGAACCACTTATGAGTAGGCTGCAGCTATAGTGAAACTCCTAAATACTTTAGGCAAGTTTGCATTAGTATAAAACTATTATCTCATACACAGTCCATATTTAAATTTCATCAATTTTATAATACTGTTTTACCTATAGTAATTTGTTTCTAATCCAGGATCACACATTGCATATAGTTTTCCTAACTCCCTAATCTCCTTTAATCTCTAATAGTGCCTCAGCCTTTTTTGTCTTTTTTAAGAGTGATATTTTGAAGAGTCCAGGCAGGTTGTATTGTGGACTGTTTTTCATTTTGGATGTTTCAAACTCTTGGATGACCCAGTAATTTCCTATTACATGCAGGTTTGAATTGTTGGCAGGAATCTATACTAATAAGAGATGAATATGTAAATTGTCCAAGATGCCACCACAGTAACAGTAATGGCCAAACAGCAGGTTGCTTGGGGCAACCAGGCCAGCAGGAGGGTTAGTGAGGGATGACCAAATGACTGAACAGCAGGCTGCTTGGGGCAACCAGGCCAGCAGGGAGGGGGAAGTTGAAGTGACCAGCCTGGCAGGGGTGACCAGATTAGAAGGGGGCCTGTAAGGAACAATCAGGTTGGTAGGTTGGCAGTTAGTGGTGATCAGGTAGGCAGGCAAGTGAGCAATAAGGAGCTAGTGGTCCCAGATTGTGAGAGGAATATCCGATTGGAGATGGTGCAGGCTGGGCTGAAGGGACGACCCCCCCCCCCCGCCCCGATGCACAGATTTTGTGCACTGGGCCTCTAGTACTACATACGTGGTGCTGTATTCTTCTTGGTACACAATGCATTTTTCCCACTACTGGTGATATCAATGTGGTTAAAGAGGCACTCCCTAGTTTCCTCCACTGAAAAGCTACAATTTCCACTTTGTAAATAGTTAGATTTCTGTGAGGACACTATTTAAAACTGTATATATTTTTACCCAATGCTTTTAGTACCCATTGATGAATGTTTTCTACATCAGTGATTACAATAATCATTTTTAATTGAATCTTTTTTTATCCTAACCTCATAATCTCTTCACTTAATGGGATAATTAACCTTTTCATAATTAGCAAGATATACTTGACCATATTCTTTCCAACATATATATATATAACTTTAAAAAATATATTTATTGTTGAAAATATTACATAGGTCCTTATTTTCCCCTATTAACCTCATCTGGCCTGCTTTTGTTCTCACCCCCACCTCCCCCTCATCCAGCCTGCTCCTGTTCCCACCCCTTCCCCACATCCAGGCCCTCACTTCCCCATTGTCTATGTTCATGGGTTATACATATATGTATACAAGTTCATTGGTTTATCGCTTCCCACTCAGACTTCCCTGCCTTCCTCTGACTTCAACAGCCTATTTATGCTTCTATATCTCTGGGTCTACTTTTGATCATCAGTTTATTTGGTTCATTAGATTCCACATATAAGTGAAATCACCTGATAATTATCTTCCTCTCACTAGCTTATTTCCCTCAGCATAATAGCCTCTATGTCCATTCATGTTGTTGAAAATGGTAAGAATTTTTTCTTTTTATGGCTGTGTAGTATTCCACTGTGTAAATGTAACATAGTGTTATTTGTTTCTTTGGGTTTTTTTTAAATCTATTTGGGCACTTTGGCTATTTCCAAAATTTAGCTATTGTAAATTGCGCTGCTATGAACGTACATATATATTCTTTCTGATGACTTGTTTTAAATTGTACTTTCTTTTCTCTTTCCCTTATTTTGCTGGCCTTCCTTCCCCTGGTTGCCAGCACTGGTTTTCCTCAGGCACCCAGAACCCGGGACCCAGGCCTTTCCTCCGTGGCAGCAGAAAAGCCAAGCTTCAAGGCTTCTCCACTTCGGCCGTAGCAGAGGAGCTAAGCCTCTTCAGTCTCCTTCAGTCTTCAATCTTCTTCAGTTTTCAGCCTTCAGTCTTCGCTCAGGTCAGGGCCTTCAGTCTTCGCTCCCTGCCTGCGTATGCAAATTAACCCGCCATCTTTGTTAGGTTAATTTGCATACTCACACCTGATTGACTGGTGGATGTCTCAGAGGTAGACTCAGTTTGCATCTTTCTCTTTTTTGTAGGTTTTTTTTCTGTCCCTAGAAGTTTTTTTTTCACTGGGCTTGTGTTTTGATTCTTGAGTAGTTCTTCCTTTCTCTGGATGCTAGGCTCCATTGGGTGGGGAATCATTTTCCTATGTTGGCTTCTTGAGGCTTGTCCTTTTTTATGGTATTTGTGTTCTTTTTCATGCTGTTGAGCATCCTTATAATCATTACTTTGAACTCTAAAGCCGATAAATTGCTTCCCTCTATTGCATTTAACTCCTTCTGGAGAATTATCTTGTTTCCATCTTTGGGCCTGATCCTTTGTCTTCCCATTTTGGCAGCCTCTTTGTGTTTGCTTCTGTGTATTAGGTAGATCTGCTATGATTCCCAGTCTTGGTAAGGTGGCTTGAAGAAATAGGTGACCTGGGGAACCCTGCGGTACAGTCTCCTGATCATCTGAACTTGGTGCTCTAAGAGTGTCCTTTGTGTGCATTATGTGGCCCTCCTATTGTCATTGAGTCTTGTTTGCTATTGGCATGTTCGTGTGTGGGATTGACCCTCAGGCTGGCTGATAGTTGAGGCTCAACCACCAACAGAGCATGCAAACTGCTGTGGATTTTGCCTCAGCAGTGATTTGTGGCTGCTGAGATCTCCCCATGGATATGCAGCTTGCAAAGCTTATTGGATCCTGATTTGTTACTTTCTGGAGATCGCCTCTGGGTGTATTGGTTCTGGGCCTCTTTTGAGAGTCTCTGGTACAGACCATGTCAGACAATGTCTGTGACTGGACCTGGGCAACCTGTTTGAAGCCATTAGTGATCCATAGTGTATGGGTGCATGTGGAAAAGACACAAACTGCACACCAAGACCTGCTTTTACTAGCGCCAGGCCCAGGGACAGGTCAACAAAAGTCTCAAAGCATCCAGAGATATGCCTCTGCCAGGAGGCTATCAGTTAGGGTCAGTCACTTAAAGAACCTCTGGCTATCCTCCTCAGCAGGGCTTAAGCTCCACAGGGTATGGCCAAAAGAATTCCAATGGGTGGTGCTATTGCTTCTCCCTAAGCTTATACTGCATAAAGAGGAATGCTCAGCTTAAGAAAGATGGCTTCTGCCCTGACTTGTTTGGCTCAGTTAATAGAACATCAGCCTGTGGACTGAAGGGTCCCAGGTTTGATTCTGGTCAAGGTTATGTTCCATGGTTGCGAGCACATCCCCAGTAAGGGGTGTGCAGGAGGCGGCTGATCGATTCTTCACGCTCATCGATGTTTCTAACTCTCTATCCCTCTCCCTTCCTCTCTGTCAAATATCAATAAAATAAATTTTTAAAAAAGATTAAAAAAAAAAGAAAGAAAGAAAACAAAAGAAAGATGGCTTCTGCAGTATGAGGGGAATAACTCAGCACAGGAATTCTGGCGGCTGACCTCTCAGTTCTCTTCTCAGAGCCACCAATTCTAGACTCTCTTCATATAGATCTGGTCCATTCTGTCTTTCCTCCACTAGATCCCACGGTGATGGGCCGAAAATGAAATTTTGTGTGTTGACTATTTAGGAGGATTTTTAGCTATCTCTCCCTTGCAGACAGAAACCCCTGTTTTTACTGTCAGATGTTACGTAGGCACTTTTCCAAATTCTGATGCTCTGGGCTCAGGAGCCCAGTTTGAGGTTAGATCCCAAACTTCTCAGATGAAACTCCTACAGCTGAGATATCACTCCAGAACAAAAGCTGCCACCTGTGGGAGCCCTGTCAGTCCCTCATGCCTCCACACTTCCTACAAGTAACAATGTGGCCTCCTTTGGATGTCCTTGGCTATAAGGCTTCTCTCCATCTGGTCCTCAGATAGTTATTCAAGATAATTTCTTTTTATTTTTTAGTTGTAACTCCAGGTTGGTCCTGGGAAGAGGTGAAGGTACATTCCACCTAACCTGCCACCATCGTTTGACAAATGATTATCATTTTCCCTTAAAACTCTGAAAGTAGCACTATTTCTAAAGCCCTTTGTCAGCAGTTGATTTAGCTTAGTGAGTGCTTCTATCCCACTTAAAATTTGGAATGAGTGATAGTATTATAGCATCTCCATGCTACCGAAAAAGCTCTGACATTGCTAGGAATCAGCAGACGTTGGTACTTAAGAAAAGCCAATACAATACATTAATAACGCAACAAGGAAAATTTTGGAGATTCCAAACCAGCAATGGGGAGATGGTGTACCCAGCATGGGAGACATACATCATGAAACCTCAAGACTTAGCTAATCTCAATTTGTTCCTGTTTACCTACCTTTCCTTCAAGCACAACACTGATAACCGTGGTATTAAATTCTGGATTTTCTGAGTCTTCAGAGGAATAAAAGACACAAATAGTAGTTCATAAAAACCAACCTTCTATAAGTTAACATTTGATTTCAAATATTTAAAAGCCCATTAGCAAAAATAAAAACTACTAAATTCTTAGCAACATATAACCACTAATTGCCTTAAGCAAAAGGGCATAGTACATTTCATATCTTTAGGACATAGGGAAGGTGTAAGCAGAATGTGGGGAATTGGGAGAGGAGACTGGAGTCTACCCTCAGAGACCCAGCAAATGAAGCTAGACTGGTATGTCCAGCTGTAGAAAGACAAGTGAAAAAATTTCCCCTTGTTAATCCTCTTGATATAAACTTTCAGGGCAATCCCAGTTTTACTGAATATACAGTGTGTTAGATTGCCTGAGAGAAATACTTGCAGCTTTAACATAAATATGCTTGTCTTTTGATTTTGAGATATTTGGACATCACTTTTCATTACCTACTAAGACCTTGCAAATCATAAGTTCTTGGTCTTGAACTACCTGCCCCACTTTTTCTTCACCACTGGAGGTGTGTCCATCTCAGGTTGTTCCTCAGGTGGTTCTTGCAGTTCGGTCTCAGGTTCAGTTATATTTTCTTCTTTCAAGGCAAATTCTTGTTCATTGCTTCGAGATACCACTAGAACATAGCTTAGTCTATTTGTCATTAATGAGACAAACTCTTCAAAATCAGGCTACAAAATAAAATGATAAACTGTTCAGGTTCCTGAAATGGATAAGCTAACATGGCAGCTACTACCTAAGTCAAGTAGCATCTTCCCCTTCATGATCACTGGGCAAGGGAATGGCATCCTAATAAAGGTCCAGTTAACAGACACATCTTTCAAGGATTCAAGTTCAAAGCCAGCAGGGATTGATCTTAAAGATAGTCTAATAACTATTCTCAAACTCTAGGAGGTTTCCAACTCATCTGAAGGGCTTGTTATGTAAACACAGGTTTCTGGAGTCCAATCCCAGAGTTGATGATGCAGTAGATTTAGGGTGGGCCCCAAAATTGGATTTTCTCCAAAGCTCCCAGGTCATGCTGACATTGCTAGTCTAATCCTTTCCTGGGGCTAATAGAGATGCTTAGAGTGGTGCAGCTAGTTTACAAAGTGCAGTGCAATAGGACTTTCTCCATGATGACAAACATGTTCTGTGCTCTCCAACATATGTGGTTAGTGCAAATGGGACTGCATTTTTATTTAGTTTCTATTTAATGTATCTAATGGCTACCATATTGGACAGTCAACTTGTAGAAGCTATGTCTCCCCACTCATAAGCCAGTGCACTTTCCAATACATGGCACTGCCTGTATCATATTCCGCCAAACAAGACAGAATTAAAAAAATAGCTTGAGAGAAAGTTTGGGTACAGAAAGAATTAAAGCTTTCTTGGAAAGTGCATGACAAGTAGCCTTCAACCTGGGATAAAAATCTACAGGAAATTCCTGGATATTTGCTTCCAGGCTCATGCAGCAAGTCTTAGAGGACATAATGTAATGAGGTCTTCACTCCAAAAGAACACAATCAGATCATCCACTTTTGGTCGACTGCTGGAGATTTTTCCAGAGTCACCATCTATGGCATTACCCTGCTATGGACAAAACAGGGGGAGCAGGAGCTTATTTGGTTGGTTACACTTATGCATTTGCTTTTCTATGATGAGGATCTAAAGCCCGTAAGAATGTACTTTATTTGAAAACACAGTGGGATTTTTGTTAAACTTTCTTACCTGCTCTGATTTTTGCCTATAGAAGTCCCTCACTTGGTTTTCAGTGAGCACTCTATTATCTTCTGCTTCTATGACAAATCCTGCATTGGCAATCTTCAATGAGAGAGAGCAAGGTCAGATCCGGAGGTTGAAGGAGCACATGTAAAACTACTCAAGGACATTTATGTCCTAGGCTTAACATACCACCCAGATTTTCATGTAAAGATTTCAGCATAATCAATAGGGCACAAGATTTGACGAGTCTCAAAAATAAATATCACAGAAGGCCCTTGTCAAGCGCCCTAGTATTTAAGTTTTCAAGACTTAATCCAGAGACACCACAATATCTGTATTATTTATTTGAATTGCCTCAAAATGTGAAAAAACTAACTGAATCACTCATAAAGATATGTTTCTTTACCATTCATTTATTTTTTAAATCACTTTTTTAAGGCTTTACTTTGCTAAGGTTATAGCTGATGATCTATTATATTTTAATTTTCTTACAACAAAAATAATAAAATTATGGGAAAGGGAAGAATTTAAGATTTAGTCATGCTTTATTTGTCTTAAAAAATGTAATTTAATGACATGTCACTCTCAAGTATAATAAAATGTAACAAAAAGCAGTTTTTAGGCTAATATAACAAGTCCAATGAGGAACTAAACAATGAAATATAATAAATAATACGAAGTCCAAAGTGTAACCAGCATTCAAAGCAACTTAGTAATTACATGAAATTATATCAATAACTTGACCTCAGTACACAACACCAACTCTTTCTGCTTCTATTATTAAAGCAAGCTCTGACCTGGTTCCATGGGCTGGATTGACATTGCAGAACTATATCTACATCTTAGTGACTCTTCTGACATTCCATTTGAAAAATTTCTAAATACTCAAATCATGTCTGCTAAGTTACTACTAGAAAGTGTATGACAAAAGAAAATTCAAGCAACTTTTAAACTTGATTACTTCTTCTTTGCTATAGCTTAAAAAAATGCAGTGTGTTCATTTTCTTTTTATTAAAACATTTCTTAAACATTTTCTGCCCTGTGGGTTATGTAGCTTTTTACTGCATTCCAGAGAGGTGAGATATGTAGTAGCTATTCATAATTTACATTTCTGAAATGTTGTTTAGTATGTCAAAACAAAAAATTTCAGATAAAATGATTAAAAGTATTGCCTCAACTAAAACAACTGTATAATTTGAAAATCTTCACTATTATAGCTATTAAAACATACTAGAATAAGTAACAGTAAACCATTGATATGGATATTATTTTTGAAAACTTTATAAAATACTAGAGGCCTGGTACATGAAATGCGTAAACTGGAGTGTGTCCCTCAGCCCAGCCTGTACCCTCTCCAACCTGGGAACCCTCAGGGGATGCCTGACTGCTAGTTTAGACTCAATCAGTCGGACGGACATCTCCCACAATTCGGGACTGCTGGCTCGTAAACACTCGCCTGCCTAGCTGCCTCATTGCCCCTAACCAATCTTCTTGCCAGCCTGATTGCCCTCTAACAGCTCCCCTGGTCTGACTGACACCTAACCACTCTCCTGCTAGCATGATGAACACCTAACTGCTCCCTGCTGGCCCAATCACCCCCAACTACCCTCCTTTGCAGGCCTGGTCACCCTACAGGCTTGGTCCCATCCACTGCCCTCCCCTGCAGGCCTGGTTGTCCCCAACTGTCCTCTCCTGCAGGCCTTGTTGCCCACAACTGCCCTCCTCTGCAGTACTGGTCACCCCCAACTTCCCTCCCTGCCAACCAACTCGTGACATCAGAGAGTGGGGCCATCTTGTGACAATGTGGGGGTAGACATCTTGTGACATGAGGGTGTGAGGTTCAATTCACATATTACCTCTTTATTATATAGGATAAGTAATATATGGGGCATTGAGGTACAGTCTGTGTCCCCCTTCCCACATACACACCAGAATCTGGGAAAGGGGAGTGAGGTTTATACTTCGAGAGAAGTATCAATTGAATCAACTCATAATTGGGAGAGAGAATATATGTACCATGACCCATGGACCATTAATCAGTGATAATGCTACTATAGCTAAAGAAAGAATGCATGATGGGAAGTTCATTGAGAAATACTCAACCCCTTCTGAAATAGCTCTCTATGTGATCTCCTCTACTGCACATGCAATATTCTTTCAAATTTCAATATAATTTTGTTGTTTCTACACAAAGTCTATATTCAGGGGTCAGCAAACAATAGCTTGCAGTCAAAATCTAGCGCACTGACTATTTTTTTAAAATAAAGTTTATTGGAACATAGTCACATCGTCTGTGTAAATAGTGTCTGCTGGTGCCTTCTCCATATGACCACAGAGTTGTTGTATTTTCAAGTTTGTTGTGATATGTACCCAACAAACTTGAAAATAGTTACCAAATGACCCTCTATAGAAAATGTCTGTTGACCTTTGGATTAGAAAGCAATTTTCTTCTAACTTTTTGTTTCTCTAAAGCAAAATATTAAATACTACATCCATAAGTTATCATGTATCTAAAAAGGACTATATATTTATGAAAACATATAGGGAATAAACCAAGCTAATTTTAGCTTATAACAAGTTTTCACCCAACATGAAAAACATTTGCTACAATCTAATAGAAGAATCGAGTTATTTAAATAAGGATGCCTGAGTGGTTCTGGCCTTTTAAAGACAAAACATTCAAAGCCATTCGAGGCACCAGAAATGCATGATGTCCTGTTTTTACTCTAAATGATAAGCTTATCTCTAAATTGACAATTAAGGGGTTGTTATTTTTCAGTTAATTTAAACTATTGTTGTGAAATATTACTTACATTTTCTTTAATTTCTATAGTTTTTCCAGTATTCATAGCCTCGGGTTTGATAATAGCAATACTGTATATTCGGTCTGGGGAAAAAATTAATAGAAAAATTTTATTGTCTTGGCCATCTAGATAATGAAGGTTTTAGTAATTAAAAATGTAAGCTACTGATGTCCAGTGGATTTTTGTCCATAGACAGCTTTGTTCTAATTGTGGCATTTCAACTACCCAAGTGGTTCTATGTGGAATCAAGGTTCACTTCCTACATTTGCATACAAGAGAAACATTCAAAAGATTTTGTAGTAAAAAATAATAATAATAGTTGTTGTAAATAAAATAAAAAGAAACAAAACACACAAACACATATACACACACAAAATAAATAAATAAATAAATAAATAAATAAATAAATAAATAAATAATAGGTAGGCATTGGTCCTAAAAGGCTCCAGACTATAGAGAGAAAAGAACAGGGGAAGGGAAGCAAAAGAAATTTCTAAAAAAAAAAAATTTTCCTCATTGATTTCATAGAGGAGGAGAGAGGGAGAGAGAAACCAGAAACATCAATGATGACAAAGAATCACTGATTGGCTGCCTCGCCCCACACAGGATGGTGCCCGCAACCCGGGCATGTGCCCTGACCACCTGCCCTGACTGGGAATAAAATCATGACCTTATGATTCATAGGTCAACGCTCAACCACTGAGCCATGCCTGCTGGGAAAAAGAGGTTTCCTTTTAATAACTGAGTCTAGTATTGCACAAACCATCATTTATCCCACCAGTTCCTTATCAATTCACATTGATGCTATCACCAGCTCTTTGTACTTCAGGTGATGCTGTGGTGAGCATCCATGTACTACAAATCTCTTGCCATTATTTTAAATTTCCTTACCCATAGATTCTTTGGATCCTTTCCTAGCATCTGCATTTGAGTCTACAAGTGTAATTTCATGATACTATGAAAGAAAAATGCAAATAAAACAATTACATTTTAATATGGTAGTGAATTTTAGAAATTTTCTTTCTAGTAAATATTTATAATTCAAGGGATAAAAGGTAAAGTGGAAATGTGCCTGCATTTATCTAACACTGCTTTTCCCAAACTTTCCAATAAAATAGAATAAAAAATATTTAAAATAGGTAAGGTAGGGGAACTATCATAAATAATGTATATATGCTATATGGAAATGGTTTTAAAAAAACTTTAAACTTAAGAGGAGTACAAGGAACAAAATTAGAAAGAAGCATATATTAATAAGAAAACAATCTATAATAATAAAAACCTACCTGGTCATTGCATCTTCACATGTTGCCCTCATGTCATCACAAGATGGCCACGATGACCACCACAAGATGGCCAGCAGGAGAGGGCAGTTGGGGACATTCGTACTGGCAGGGGAAGGTCATTGGGGGGTGGAGGGACCAAGCCTGCAGGGGATAGCAGCTGGGATTGACCAGGCCTGCAGGGGAGGGCAGTTGGGGGCAATCAGGCAGGCAGGGGAGCAGTTAGTGGGCAATTAGGCTGGCAGGCAAAAGTAGTTAAGGGCAATCAGACAGGCAGGCAGGAGAGCAGTTAGGAGCCAACAGTCCTGGACTATGAGAGGGATGTCCAACTGATGTTTAGGTCCAAGGGGTCCCAGATTGGAGAGGGTGCAGGCCAGGCTGAGGGACCCCCCTCATGCACAAATTTTGTGTACTGGACCTCTAGTAAATACATAATTAAAAAATCAAAAGAGACGCCGGGACCGGTTTGGCTCAATGGATAGAGCGTCGGCTTGGGGACTGAAGGGACCCGGGTTCGATTCCGGTCAAGGGCATGTACCTTGGTTGCGGGCATATCCCCAGTAGGGGGTGTGCAAGAGGCAGCTGATCGATGACTCTCTCTCATCGATGTTTCTAATTCTCTATCGCTCTCCCTTCCTCTCTGTACAAAATCAATAAAATATATTAAAAAAATAAATAAATTAAATTAAATAAAAAAAGAAAATCCTCCTTTAAAAAAAAAAAAAAAAAAAATCAAAAGAGTATTTGATAAGTGTCAAAATCCATTCCTGCCTTAATTCTATTAGTAAATTAGAAACAGAAAGATAACACCTTAACTTAAAAAAAGAAAAAGTCTTGCTCAAAACAATAGTTCATTGCCTACTATAGGCTAAAATACCAGAAAGGATGGGGTTAGTAATGAGGGTCTTCATAACCTGAGAAGCCCTGAAAGTGCTTCTGTGATTCTGTATATATCTATAATAATAAAAGCCCAAGCAACCTTTATAGTGGAAGGACCAGAACTACCAGGTCACTCTGATGCACACTGACACTCAAAGCAGGAGTTGCCCCCTGGTGGTCAGTTCACTCCCACAGGGGGAGCACAGGTCAGCCAGAGGCAGGAGCCTTTCCCATCTCTGCTGCAGGCAGTGGTAAGGAGCGAGGGGTCTTGAACTGCAAGAGCCCCAAACTGTGAGAGGGATGTCTGACTTCCAACTTAGGCCTGTTCCCTGGGGATACTGGGCCTAAGCCAGCAAGCAGACACCCCCCAATAGGTCCCAGACTGCAAGATGGTGCAGGCCGGGCTGAGGGTGGCCCCCTCCACCCATCCAGCCCACGAATTTCTTGCCCCAAGTCTCTAGTTTATATATAAAGATTGTTTTGGCAAGAGAATAAATAACTTTTGTCTCTTTTTATAGCCTTTGTTTTGAAATCTATTTTGTCAGATTGTTACTCCAGCTTTTTTTTTTTTTTTCCCCCATTTGCATGGACTATCTTTTTCCATCCCTTCACTTTCAGTCTCTGTGAATCTTTTATTCTGAGATGGGTCTCTTGTAGATAGAATATATATGGGTCATGTTTTCTTATCCACTCAGGTATCTTGTGTTTTTTTTATTGTAACATTTAATCCATTTTCATTTAAAGTTTCTATTGATAGGTACTTATTGCCACTTTTTTCTTTGTATCTATGCTCCTCTCTTTTTCTTCTTAAAGCTGTCCCTTAACTTAACAATGCTGGTTTGGTGATAATGAACTCTTTTAACCTTTTTTGGGGGGAAAACTCTGTATTTCACCTTTAATTGTAAATGATATCCTTGCTGGATAGAGTAGTCTTGCCTTCTGGTCCTTGCTTTCCATTACTTTGAATACTTCATGCCAATGCCTTTGGGATATAGTGATGCTTTTGGTTTGGAGACTTTTTTTTTTTTTTTTTAATCAGCTGAGAGCTTTATGGAAACTCTCTGTTTCTCTCTTGCTGCCTTTATGATTATCTCTTTGTCTTTAACCCTTGCCATTTTAATTATGATGTATGTTGGTGTGATCTCTTTGAGTACATCTTCATTGAGACTCAGTGCTTCCTGAACTTGTATGACCTTTCCTTTCACCAGATTAGAGAAGTTTTCTGTCATTAATTCTTCAAACAGGTTTTCTACCATTTTCTCTCTTCTCCTTCTGGTACCCCGATGATGTTGGGATGGATATTGTTTCCTTTCATGTTGACCCAAACTTCATTGAAACAATCCTGTTTTTGTTGTTGTTGTTGTTGTTGCTGTTTATTGTCCTTATGTATTAAGTTTCCTGTGGGACTCAGTCATGCAGTTTCTTTTATCTTTTTAGCTGGATGCTCTAGGAATTTCCTTGTGTGGGTTAATTGGCTCTCCTATTATAACTGGGTCTTGATTGTCATTGTCCTGTTTGTGGGTGGAATCCCCTCAGGCTGGATGACTTTGAAGCTCAACCCTGAACACATCATGTGAGCTTTATAAGATGCTGACAGAACAAAAGAAAAACCATGCAAAAGAACCCAACAGCTACAACAAGAACTACTGGAAAAGAAAAAAAAACGATTTAGGAAAGAGAAAAGAGCACAAGAATAATAAAAGGAAAAAAAAAAAAAAAGCAGAACATGAGAATCAAAAGGAAAAGAAAAACAAATATGAATTGTGAGAGAAAAAAATATATGAATAAAGCATAGAAAAAGAAAACAGTATAAAGGAAAATAAGCAGAGCCGAAACCGGTTTGGCTTAGTGGATAGAGTGTATGCTCGCTGACTGAAAGGTCCCGAGTTGGATTCTGGTCAAGGGCATGTACCTTGGTTCTGGGCACATCCCCAGTAGGGAGTGTGCAAGAGGCAGCTGATCGATATCTCTCTCTCATCGATGTTTCTAACTCTCTATCCCTCTCTCTTCTTCCCTGTAAAAAAATCAATAAAATAAAAAATAAATAAATAAAAAATAAGCAGATTTGTCCCCAGCAGGATTCATCTCTCCTTGGTGAATAGAAGCCCCAAGTCTTTCAACCCTGGATGCTACAGAGGTGGCTATTCCCAGCTCTGATACTCTGGGATGGGAAGCTCAGGTGGGGGTCCAGGCCTCACTCCTCTCTGGGGAATCTCTCCACTACCGCCCCATGCAGCCCAGATATCCCTCCACACTCTTGGGCTGCTGCCCCTGGGACCAGGCCATCCTTTCTCATGACCCTTGCTCTTTCTACCAGTCCCAAGGTAGTTTCTGCTTTTCCTTCTTTAAAAAAATCTCCTCTTTAACTAGTCTTCAGTTGGTAATTCAGAGGGAATGTTCCCTAATTGCATTTTACTTCTAGTTTGGTTCCAGCAGAAGGTGCAAACAAGATCTACCTACTCCACCGCCATCTTCTCCGTTGCTTAATTCCAAATCTATGTATATATAAAACCTTAATATGCAAATAGACAGAACAGCAGAACAACCAAACAACCAGTCACCAGTGTACTGGCCATCAGGGGCCCGCATGGAACATGACAGGAATTGGCAGCAGGAGGCAGACCACATAACATAGTGGGTGTTGGCTGGGGTGCAATGGTGGAGCAGGTGAGTGGGGGCACCAGACCAATGTAGTTTCTGGGTGACTTTGAAGCTGGTCACTGTCATCGGGGTGAGCCTCTGGTGGTTACTGAAAATTCTTTGCTCCCACACACCACACTGGCCGGGGCTCACCCCACTCACACCTGCAGCCAGTGTCAGAGCAGCCCCTACATCTGCTGCCAGCCCCCAGTGCCAGTCCCGATCACTAGGCACTGTCAGCAAGTGCAAGCCATGCATGCTAGCCCCAATCACCTCCCCCTGCTCCTGAGGGACAATTGGGGCAGCAGCCACTAGTCCCACCCATTGCTGGCACCAGCCCCAATCACTCCACACGCCATTAGTGGGTGCAAGTGGAGCCCGAAGCCATCAGCATGTGGGAGCAGCAGCAGCGGGAGCCAATAAGCAGGGAATTGGGACCCAAGGCGAGAGGGCCTGAGAAGGGGCCTGGAGAATGGGACGAGACACCCCCCCCCCCTTGTGCCCACAGGTCCTTTTAAGGTGCATGGATTCGTGCACTGGGCCCTAGTATTTAATAACAGACAACATCTCAAAAAAGCTTTCTTTTCTATATTTGTCATTATCTTCTTAGGAAAACTTATTGGGAGTGTAACTGCTCAAAGAGTACGTGTGTATTTTAGGGCCTTTAATTCATATTGTCAAGATACTTCCCAGAAAGTGCAACGTTTAGTTACCTAGACAGTTATAGAATTAGGGAAAGTGCCTTAGAAAAACAACAAAAAAGATGTCATACCTATTTTAAAACACAAAATAGCCAGGAGCGCAAAGTATTACCTGAGGGCGATCCATTTCACCTGCTACAATTTTCCTCTCCTCATTCACCAAGTTAATAATTGTTTGATTAACAAGTGGTGCATTAGCACCCTCGATCTTTGAAATAATTTTGCCATTCTATAAAGGAAAAGAAAACATGAAGGAAACATTCATTTTCAAGGTAAGTCAAAAATTAACACTTCATCTAAACTAAGTAACCCCACCCTAACCCATACTTCCACCATTCCTTTCTTAGCAATTGTTTTAACCATTTAAAAATAAGGTCTTAGTGCGTGGCCAGTGTGGCACAGTGGTTGAGTGTCAACCCATGCACCAATAGGTCACCGGTTCAATTCCTCTTGGTTTTAGCCTAATTGTACTGGGTTAATTGACTCTCCTGGTTAAGGTCTACTGACCAGGCCTGGCTAACGTGGCAGCGTGATGGTTATCCCAGAGCTCCAGTCTTTCTTCCTCAGTCCCCTGTTCCTAACTGCTGCTGCTGCTAGAGTCTCCTCATGTCCCATTAGCTTAAGCCCCTTCCTGCTTCATGCAGTTACTCATTCTGGTTCCCTACGCAAACTCCAGGCCAAGGGGTCAGAGACAGTATTTCGGCAAAGCTGAAAATACTGAGTATCTGGCCCTTTAGAGAAGAAGCTGGCTGACCCCTGATCTCATTCATCAAATCCTACAGAGCCAGATCTACAATGCAACTGTAAACTCAATGAACTCAGGAATTCAGTTCCTTGAAGTCATTGCAAGAGTATATTAACAGAAGGGAAAAGTTATATCCAAGAAGTGTTTTTAAGTCATTATTTTTAATAGAAAAGATGAGAATTGAAGTACCCCTTCAGAGGAGGTCCTTGCCCTCTGTTCGAGGCCTTTCCTCACCACCCCAGGTCCCTAGCTTCCACACTCTTATCAAACAAGTTAGCACTTAACTGTGTACTCTCCTCTTAGAAAATAGCACTTACTATGGTTTCCTGATTATTAAAGTTGTGTGTTCACCACAGAATATTCGGAAAATATAGAAAAGTATAAAGAAGAAAAGTGAAATTTTACATCTTTTCCCCATAATAGTCTGATGAATGCTCTTTCTGTCTTCCTTTGTAAATATATAGAGAGAAGTTAATATATATTACAAAATAGTAATCACACAGCTATTTCATTACATTGGCATATGTGAATATTTATAATCAAGACTCTCCTACTGGGTATCTAAGAAATTTCCAGTTTTTCACTCCGGTAAGTAATAATTCATCATACAAATGTCTGATTATTTTTTTTAAATATATGTTTTTATTGATTTCAGAGAGGAAGGAAGAGGGAGATAGAAACATCAATGATGAGAGAGAATCATCGATTCGCTGCCTCCTGCACACTTCCCCTTGGGGATCACAACCCAGGCATGTGCCCTGATCCTTAAATGAACCGTGACCTCCTGGTTCATAGGTCAACACTCAACCACTGAGCCACACCGCCAGGCTGTCTGATTATTTCTTTAAGAAAGGTAAATACATCTTGTGTTCCTCTTCCCTGATCAGCTCAGTGTGTGGTAGTCTAATCTCTCCACTATTCGCTCCTAGAAGTCAGTTTATATAAAATATATTAACAGAGAAGCAAAGGTGAAGTAAAAAAAAAAATCTATAATGACTTTCACCAAAAAAGAGTTCTGTGGTAATTTTATAATGCTACTTGGTCTTTAACTAGAAATTGGAATCTGATAATACATTTGAGAAAATAAATATTATACTTACAACACTAAAAAGAAAAACAGGTTCACAATTATCTCTAAATGACTGCAAGGCCAAAATGCTGTCAGCTTCAGCCTGGAAAATAGATATTAATATTTCACATGATAATATAGGAAACTATATCTAAGTCATTAGATACACTATATTCAAACAAACACAGATAAACATTCATTTTATTTTTATATTTATTCAGCATGCTCTTAGTATGGTTATCGTTGTTTTAAGGATCAAATTGCAAACACTGTCATATCAAGCTCTGCATCATTTGGCCTCAACCTGACTCTGGCTGTTCACATTTATGGCACCCTCACCCTTCCCACCACCACCCAAAAAAAGAATGAAAGAGGCTGGAAGGAAGTAATTTACCATATTAAAGAACAGAAGTCAAATATTTTATTTTAAAGTAATCATTACAATGTTTATATCATAATAAAGTACTAACATGTAAAGCATTTAACATTATAAAAGAACAATAAATAATTTTTACTGTATGTTATATGTATTGATACAATGTTAATACAAGTCTCCAAGTCTTTTAAAAGGGAACATAACAGAAAATAATGTATATGACCATTCAATTTGGGGTGATGTAAAAGGTAATCAATGTCATAAGTCTTTATTTTGGATTTAAATTCACAAGTTCAGAAAGGTCCCCAAGGAGGCTACCTGCAGAAAGTAAAATATCCAGCAGAGGGCGACTGTCCATTGTTTACAATGGAGGTTTGGAAACTAAGAATTTATTTTCTTTACCCTTTAGAAGTCATATAAAGACAGCATCAGTTTATGTGAGTATACTACTGTTGAATGTGTTCAAACATAACAGAACATGCAAGGACAATGCGAACATTTTTTTGATAAATTTAACAGAGGTAAGTATGGTCGTTAGGCATATCTTGGAAAGACTACTAGCACTTCCCAGTGGGATAGACACAGTGATGGAACTGATGTCTGGGGAGTAGGCTGAGGCATTCAGTCTGGTTTGGGTATTGCTGGGAGGACAGTCATAAAGCTCAGACCTGTATCCTCACGCCACTCTGAGCTGTGTGTGCTAAGGGAGGAGGATTAATAGAATTTTCTGATGACACCTGATGGTCTGTGACCCATTTGCCAGCTGTCAGAACCTTCTGGTCCTGTCTTTTAACCTCTTATACCAACCCTGGTAAATGCCCAGAGCCCTTCCCAAAGCTATTCAGTGACTAGTACTTGGAGCTCTGATTCTAAGACACACGGATGAAAAGAAACATCAATAAACAGATAACCATTTGTACACTTTTCTAATGTTCACAACCATGGCCAATAATCTCAATGGTCTAGGCATGGGGCAAAAATCTCGTTTGTTCTCAGATCAGGTCGAACTGAACATCGAGTAAAACTACCCGTAAACACTGTCCATTCTGAAGAGTTGACAGGTTGTTTAACGCAACACAATCCTTAAAGAGAACACTTGAACACCTAAAGTAACAAGAAAACAATAGTTTTATGGAAGTTAAATCCTTACTACAACAAAATGCAGAATTTCCTCTTCGTTCAGCTCATTTTTCAATTTCCTGAACAACGTTTGCATTGCTTTGCAGGGTCCACACCAGGCTTGGTAAACATCGATCACTAGAAGACGGTATTTATGAAAGAATGGAGTCAGAATTCTGAAATAGCAGCTTATCCCAGGGCTGGGGCAGGGGCAAAGACATAGCAGGACCTTTTGTGGAAGTAGGGAGCTGTGCTCCGTGCTGGGGTGCCATGAGGTGCCCTGGGCCAGTGGGGGGGAGGGGGGATGATGCCAGTACCTGTTACGCCTTTGTTCTGCAACATCTCCTCCCAGAGGCTTTGGGTGTTGATGACAGTCTGCAAAACGGAAGGCACTGTACACGGCCTTCCAATGCCCATGCCACCAAGTTAAGAACTGCTGCTAGGTCATGCCTACCTGTAACTGGATTTCCCGCTTTTTGCCTGCCATGTGTCCACTATCACACGAAAAAGGGGTGACAAATAGAAAACATTTCAGAGAAATTTAAATACTGTCCTGTTTGTGCATTCAAGCAACATCTTAAAGCACCATAGAAATAAATGTCCCTTCCCTAGCGGCTTAGGTCCTCCCCCCACAGAGACTCCAGTGTCTCCCAGGCCTCCTCCCGCTGCTTACAGCAGCCAAAGGTCTTCCCAGCAGGAGAATCCCGAAGCCAGGTAAGAGTGGAAGGAGGCAGAGTTTCCTAAGCACAGCTGTGTGTGTTGCCCTGGAGCATTGTGCTCTGGGTTCACCTCTCTGAAGGTGCTCATGGGCCTCCCTGCAGCCCCTCCCCCTGAGATCTCGCTTCTAGCGCAAGGCCGCTCAGTGCAGGGGCACAGCATGAACTGCCCACAGGTGGTCAGCCAGCGAGGCCCAGGCGCCTGTCTGTCCGGTGGCCTCCTGGGCTTTGAGAGGGTGTCTGCCCCTGTGATAGCAACACCAGTGTGATCCAGGGCAATCAGACTACATCCCACAAATCCTGCGGATCCCCCAACAAGCCCTGCACAAAACAGGGCCTCCTTTAAGTTCCGTGGGGACATTTGAAGAACGGGAAGGCACAGCCCCCCAGGATCTAAGTGGGCCCCTTGGTCCAGGCCTGTGGCCTTTGTGGGAGTACCTGGGCCCCTGGCGTTGGGGCGGGGTTTGGCTCCTGCTGCGCTTTCTGTGGGTGCTGGTCGGGAAGCAGTAGGGCGCCAACGTTTCCTGCCAGCCTCCTGGCCGCCCACGAGCTCAGGCACACTGCCCACTCCTCCCACCCAACCCCCACCTCCCCAGCGTGCACTCTGCTCCCGCCGCCACCCCTCCCCCCTCCTCCCAGCTTCACCTCTGTGTTCAGAACTGGGCCAAGGTTACCTGCATTTGGCTGGGAAAATTGCTCCCTCTAGTGCCCTGACACTGAAGGGACTGCCAAGGCCTGTTCCCCCTCCTCCCTCAGCTGCCTCCTCCCTTTCTGCCTTCCTATGCAAGGCAATAGGTGAAAATTTAGGTTTTTAAGCATTACTTCTATGGATTGCAAAAATCTTGAATGTGGAGGCTTTGAAACATAAACTTGATGAGATGTTGATTTGGGATTTCAAGGACAAACTCACTCTGAAAATGTTACTTATAAGAAAATGTATTTATATTTTATTAGAGCAGAATGTAAATTATAAATGCCAAGTAGCCCAGGAAAGATATTACTCCCGAATGGATCTAATGGTTTGTTTTGCCTCTTGCATATAATTGACATTATCTTTCTTCAAGATTTATTAAAAGTGTTCTTTCCTACATTGACCTGCTCTTTTCTTCTTGAGCAAAGGTCATAAGTGCCTGTTTCTTTGCAAATCTAGTTAAGTGTTAGTCAACAACTGACCAATGTCAGCCTTGTAAAGACTGAGTTCTGTTGTATTATTTTAAACATTTGTATTTAATTGTTCTAGTAGGTGATTATCTTTCTTCCCAGGACTCAAAATGAAAAATTAGAAAACCCCATGATGTGCATTTAGTAAAAAGATAAGCTTTATAATATAAAGGTACAGGTGAGTTGAAAATCAACAATGGAAAAGATATCATGTAAACATCATAAAAAGTTGACATGATTATATTAATATATCAAAGGGACTTCAATACAAGAATATTTTCAGATAGAGATTTCCTGATGATAAAAAGTTTCATCAAAAAGACAAGTATTTTAAAATGTATATAATAAACAACAGAGCAAAAAAATTGCCTGAATTAAATGAAAGAAAGGCATATCCATAATCATAATTGAAGATTCTAACATCACTTTCCAAATAACTGATAGAACAAGTGCACAGAAATCAGTAAGATTATTAAAGATGTAAACAACTTTATCAATCAAATTGACCAAATTGATATGTACTGACAACTGCAGAATACACCATATAGTAGGTAATTTTAAAAATCATAATAAGTGTCAAAAATTGGAATCTTACAGCATATTTTTAATCACAATAGAAATAAACTAGAAATCAATAACAATAAAATATTTGGTACATTTTTAAACACTTGATAGTTAAACAACACTCTAATCACTAACCAGTGAGTCAAATAAGAAACCAAAAGAGAAATTAGAAAATATTTCAAATGGACTGATAATTAAAATACAACATATAAAATTTTGTTGGACGTTGGTAGCTCAGTGGTTAAAGGGAAAGTAAAATCTAAAAGACATATTACAATAAGACAGGTTTTAAAATACATAATGATCTAAGTTACACTTAAGAACTAAAAGAAATAACATATTTAAGTAAGGTAAAGAAAAAAAATTTTAAAAGATTAGAATAAAAGCCAAGTAAATACAAAACAGAAAACAAGGTGATAGTAACAATATAAAAAGTTGTATTTTGTAAAGATCAGCAAGATTATTAAATTCAGATCTATAGTGATCAAGAAAAAAAGGGTGACCAAAAATTACCAGCATCAAAAATAAAAGATGAGATATCATTAGTGTCCTCATAGAGATTAAAATGACAGTAATAATATCATAACAACTTCATGTCATCAATTTTTTAAAGTGTAGATAAAATAAAAATTCTTTGAAGAGTGCAAATTGCCTTTTTAAATACAATTATTATAAAATATAGATGTTTTGTGCATTTAAATACATATAAAGATATCAAAATACAGATATTCAATGTAGTGGTTTTATCTAGAGTGGTGACAAAAACTTAGATACAATAAGCCATTAATTATACTGCAATATTTGGTTACTGATAGTGAAAATTATCAACTATTCCTTGTATAATTATAATATATTAATTCTAAATGAATACCTGTTAATGTTTGAAAAGCTTTATTAGAATAAAAATTGGAAGCAACATAAATATAATCTCCAAATAGAGGAGATTATATTAAAGATGATTAATTCTTATAAATGAATATGATGGTTGCATTGAAAAGATATTACTACTTATTCTTGGATGGTGAAATTACTTGCAATCTTTACCTTATTTTATTACTTTTCTATTTTTTCCACACTTTATGCAGTTATATTTATTTTAGAATCAGAAAAAGCAGTACATATTTTTTAATTCATTCTCCTCGGTATTTTTACAGTAGATTTTCTCTTATTGTCCTTGGGTTCTTTCTCAACTACTTTTAACTATTTTCACTATGAAGATTAATTCTCATTTAATCTGGCTTTCCTTGCTACTTTAACATGACATTTCACTTATTTTCTGAGCATTGCTTTTTTTTCCCCTAAGCTAATGGGCATTTTTTTCAAAGACATCTCCCCCCCGTCGTAATAGCCATCTTCACAGAAACATCTTAATGCTGCCCTCTTACCTTTACTAGGTAGCTCCATGCCCTTCACAAGGCAGTTTCTCCTCCCTCTTTGATGTGAAAGTGCATAGACTTTGGGGTCTAATAATTTAGGTTTAAACCCTGGCATTCCCTTTACCCTTAGACTAACATAGAACAAATTATATAACCTTTCAACCCTATTTTTTCTATCTTAAAATGGGGACTATAGTAGCATGTTTGTGAGATTAATGATATAAATGATGGAATGTACTTAACAGAGAGTGTGTTCCACGGTTTTCAGTATGTTTACTGCTTGCCCCTTGCTTTCTTTGGTTGTTTCCTTCTGAGGTGGAATCTGATGATGGCTGTATAATTTTTAAAAATACAAATTGTCTCAACTAGTACAACACTGAATTGACATTTTCTAACAAGATGTTTTTGGATCCTAGTTTTAAAAGGACAAATTCCCTAAATTTATAAGAGTGCTCAGATTTTTCTCTCTTGTTACTATTATTTCATTTCTTTGGTAAAATCTAAATCAGAACTCTCCATTTTAATATATTCTGCCTAAAGCTCTTATGCGAAGTGCTCCTTTGCATATATTTACAAAAACAACTCATGACATTACTTTGAATTTTATACATAATAATGTATGAGTGACTGTTCAAAAAGTCCCTATGGTGGCTATCTGCACTTCTGTGGTGGCAGTTGAGAAGCAGCTCGCTCTGAAATCAAACATCTCTGACCACATCCTGCCACCAAGCCTCTGAAGCCCTCCCATCCTTGCTCGTTTGGAGGACTAATCCTCTCCAATGGGGCTCAGCATTGTGATCCTTCACCACAGTTCCAACATGACACATCCCCGCTCATAAGATACATAAAGCTCTGGGATTCACAGCTCCCCAAAAGGTCCTGCACCTACGTCTTTCCCAGCTTTAAAGGGTCTCTGTTCAGGGGTGAAAGGATCTCCTAGAAGACTGACAATGCAGCCCGACAGCGTGGCACAGGGCAAAGCTGATCCATGTATAGCAAGGGAGCCACCCCTCACCTTCCCACTTCCAAGCAGACATCACGGTCATTTCAGGATAGATTTTTTTTTCTTCTCAGTCTCAGTCCCATTCTCAGCAGAACCTCAAAGGCTCCCAATACAGAAACTTCTGTGGGTTTAGAGTTGAAGGCCTGTGCTTAGATCCTCCTGGAAATCCAACGTGAGTCCCAGTGTTGTACCCAGAGAGGAATACTCCCTCCAAGATTAGTCTGGGCACAGAGCAGGGTTCTCTTTCCTCTTCTCTAACACAAACCCTACTGAGACAGGTGAGTAAGCCAGGACAAGTAAAATAGGGAAACCGAGACAGGTAGTTAAACAGCCAAGCAGTTCACAGCCATCTAGTGAATCACAAAATCCTATCTTCCCTAACCAAGGACACTTAAGAATAAATGGTTTTCGCTTCTCAGAGCTATTTATCTAACCGGAGAGTAAATAGCTAAAATCACCCTACTCAGGGAGACGGATAACTGAAATCAATTAGTGCCATTTGTGCCAACCACACCCGGGTATGGATGAAGCCAGGGGAATAAGTCTCATTTTGGTGCATCAGCAGAAAGCTGCTAAATATTCCTCCCCTAAGAGCTCCCCTAGAATGCCCACCCTTTGGAAAACAGACAAAAACCTTAAGACAAAGGACCCAGCATGGACTCTCCCC